CCTACAGCTCTTCATTTTTGCTAGTCATAGGTGAAAACTCTCTATTCTTAAGATTTTGTTCTTCAACCATCCTAATGAATACTTCTGCAATTACATGATCATTTTCTGCAGCACAGGCAACGTTTTTTCCATGAGGGTTTCTGTACAACGACTTCCAACAGTTTGTGGCCAATTGTGCCTCTACTGTTTTCTGCGTATAAACGCATCCATGAAACTGTTCCTAATTGCCTGCATTTCTTTTTTGGTTTGAGCAGCGTTGCGTTTCAGTGAAAGCTTTGAAAGAGCATATGCTGGAAATCTTTGTGGTGAAGTGGTCTCGTCAGTGCGCATGAATTTGTATCTGCTGAAACCTTTGGTTATTTCTTTTAAAACATTATGGAACTTTAATTTCTAAACACCTATTTAGTTCTCTAATCCACTAGTCACTCGGGTACTATTCTGTCCTTTTTAACATCTATTTTCTTCTTTTTTATTTCTTTTCAGTGTCAAGGATCAATTTGCATAATGTCCTTGTTTTATAAATATATCAACATCTTCAAAAATACTTTTGCAAATTATTATTCAGTCCTGTTTTTCATCCAGTTGGATGTTTTTGTAATTACTTCGTAGTTAGAAAAGGCTAAATAGGATCATCACCTTTCTGGAGTCATACTCCATCTGCTGTGGTAGTTACAGGTTAACCCTCTGGTTTCAGTTTTGAATGTGAAGAAACTTGCAGAATTTTAATTCTTAATCTGAGTCAAAAGTGTTAAAATGAGTTAATTGGCATAATGTGATACTAAGGCAGATGCGGTTTGCACTGAAAAATCAATCAGTGGGTGGCGTTTGGCTGCGCAAATAAGGGAGGAAGAACTTTGTCGCAGGAAGTTGCTGCCTTGTTCAGTCAATTCATCTGCCCTGCGTGAATCACCTCAAAGATTTCGGCAGTCATTATGGTTTGGCTACTGTAAGCAGTGGCACACAGCAGACCGTAGTACAAGCACAGCTATGGGCAACATTGCTAACATTAAAAACTCGTTTTATTTAGCAGCTCAGACTTCTTCTGGATGGAGGTCTTGATGGCAGCAGCCAAAACACTGACGATGGCAGGGCAGGCGCTGAGTAGCACTCACTCCCTGCCACTGCTCCAAATGTTTTCCCTTCCTTCATCCTTTTCCTGAAGGGCTGTAGAGTTCAGGTGTTTCACGATGCGCTACAAAAGCTTTCACTGCCAGATCACTGCTTTGAATGCAGCCTAGACCAAAGTGCATTTAAAAAACCCATTGCTATCCAGGGGTTTTCCAGGGGCTGAGGTTCACAACATGGTGGACGGCGTCC